AACAGCATGCCTCACTACAACTAGCTGTTAAATTAAAATCTTGTGCATTTTCATCTGTATTTATTTCCATGGGCTATACTAAATGTTTAGTTTTGTGACTGAAGAATACATACACACATACATATACATACATGCACCTTGACTTATAATTTGAAAATACTATCATTCAAAAATGTATTTAACACACGTAATCTATCAAGTGTGCGCAGAGCATTTACCACAGTATTTAATAAAGTGTGTAAGACTGAGGGATGTAGCTCAGGGGTCCCATATTACCTAGTATGCCCAAGGTCCTGGACTCATCCCTATGATGGCAGAAAAATGAACTATTGACTATCCATTCTTAAATACTATACTAAAAGCAAAACCTGGAGTGACAATATGGTAGCTTTTTCCACCATTATAAATCATGGATGGTCCTCATTGCCAACTATACCAGTTTATCGTTGCCACTTGAAATATTTGTTCTCCCATTTGTTAATTTTAGTAGCTATTAGAATATTTTTATTTCAACAAATTTATAGTGGAAAGTTTAAACCCATAAGATCAACTTGACTTTAATATTTTCATATTTATTTTAATGTAGTAACTATAATCCATTATTTTACTAGATAGCCAATTTAGTGTTTTCTTCTTTCTCTTAGTTATACTTTGCTTGAAACAAAGTTATATTACATGATTCTTGGTGTTGCTTTGTGTATTTCATAGTATAAAGTGATAATAGGATAAAGAAATAAAGCATAGTATAATTAGACAAAAATGATATGGTAGGCTCTTGATTTAAGAGTGAGCAGTTGAATTCAGAGGACACTAACTTTATAAGCTAGATGTCAAGAGTGGTTGTGTTGCTTTCATGGAGTTCACTCTTTCCATCTAAGGGTCTTTTCTACATTTTATGACCTTATTCCTAGGGCTTTAGGGGGTATTTGTGAAGCTTTGAGAGGGGGGTCAAAAATGACTGTCATGTACACTGTAGCTGATTAAAAATTGGAATTATTCAATGTTGCTACTGACTACATTTAAGTGGATTTTCAGAACTATATGTCAGATCTTTAGACATACAAGTAAAGGTGAAATGTAGGTTGCAAAAAGATATTGGATAAACAGTGAGAGTAATGCTTTATTGAAAGCACCTAAGAAAGAATGACAGTTGTCTTCAGTTAAAAACTCATAGCTGTGGATGTTAATACACCATACAGTGATCATACATCAAGCTTATTTTTCCTCACAACCAGCATGCTCAGCCATATTCAACCTTATGTTTGGACACCAGTAGCTTATTATTAATGATTACTACCAAGTATCAACTGCTAATAAGTATTAGAACTTGGTAGTTCTTGAGTTGGTGCTTTTAACCATTGCACCTTTTTGAGCGTTTCTAATCTAGGTTCTTTATGAATATTATATGTGTTGTCATTTAGTTTTCTCTTTAAAAAAATGTTGACAAAATGCATCACGTTATACTTTAGCAATTTTCTCATTATTGATGAGTAACATTCATGAAAATATTTTAAATTACTTAATATTGTCATTTTTACAGTTATTTATTTGCATTTGTGCGTAAGTGTGCACACATAGCGCAGTACACATTTGGAAGACAGAACAAGTTGTAAGAGTTAGTTCCATCCTTCTCCCACAATGGTCACAGGGCTCACCTCAGGCCTTCAGGCTGACAGCAAGTACCTTTACCCACTAAGCCATCCCACTAACCCCATGTTAATGTTAAAATAGAATTGCCTAAAAGTAGCACATGTTAATATGGATATATTAAAATCTTGGTGAAACGATCATTCCACAAACTTGCTTACAATTATAATGAACGACTTGCCTCAAGACTTTGTGTACTTAGATCCTTTGGGTTATCAGGAAAGTCAGCTTCAAGGAGATGGAGGTTCTTTTTGTTGAGTGGAGCATGTAAAGTGTGGTGGTTTGAATAAGAGTGATGACCCCCGCAGGCTCATATATAATGCTTTGTCATCAGTTGATAAACTGGGAAGGATGAGGAGGTGTTACCTTGCTGGGGCAGGTGTTGCCTTAGAGGAGTTGTATCACTGGGAGTGGAGTGTAAGCTTTCAAAAGCCCGCACCAGGCCTAGTGCCTCATCTCTTCCTGCTCATCAAGATGTAGCTCCGAACTACTTCTCCAGCATCGTGCATAGGCCTCCATGTTCCCCCCAAGATGATAATGAACCAACCTTCTGAAAAGTGTAAACAAGATTGCAATTAAATGCTTTCTTTTATAAGAGGTGCCTTGGTCATGGTGTCTCTTCACAACAATAGAACAGCGACCATGACAGATGTCTACATTCCTTTTCACTTTTCTGTTATCTGGAAAATCCTGTTTCTGCCTCCTGACCTAAAACTTCCTTAGTTTACGCATCTATCTGCATCTCAGCAAGCAGAAGAAAATCAGTCTTTCCTTTTTAAAGCTTATTTTCCAAAAATTGTACATACTACTTTTATCTTCTGGCTAGATCTTATACAGTGTGACAAAAACTGAGAAGTGGAGTTTTTTATGCTTTGGGCCTTTTTTTTTCCCCCTGTAAAAGAAATTGGGGTTCTCTTGTTGATAGGTAGTCTTTAGTGTCAGTTTATGTACCACCAGCCTTTTAGACTTAAAGCCAGGAATTACTTTCATAGCCGTGTGTTCTTTTATGCATTTTTTTTCTGTTGCAGTTTAAGTATTGTAAACCTTCTATACATTCTTTTTCTTATCCTGTTATCAATAGGATCTGTAATAAAGCAATAGAAGAGAATCAAGCCAGTCAGGTTCCCATTCTGGCAGTCATTCCTACCAGTGATGAAGTGACTTAACCTTTCTTGTGATAAAGTATATTCACATTAAAATGAAAAAATAAAGAATTTTTTTCTTTATTCAAAGGATTATTACTAGGAATAATTTGAATTTGATTTATTCAAATTCAAAGGATTGTTACTAAGAGTAAATAATTGACAGTTGAATCTATAAAAGCCCTTTGTATATAATAAGCCCACAGATGTTGGTCATCATTACTTTCAGGTGGCAGATTCATTAGCAAAGTTGTTTTGATATAAGTAAAGGATTAATTGTGAAAGTTAACTTATTAATTAATATTAACATTTTCACTGTAGTAGATGATAAGTAATTGGATCGCCTGAGTCTAAATTTGCTCATTTATTTGTGGAGTGTTAGAATATATATTCAAATATACACTCATTCACCAATTCATTTTCTTCTGTTGCCTTTTAAAGTCCATTCAAATGCCAAAATGTAGAAGAACTGTTTTCAAAGGGAATAGTGAAACTATTAGAGAATAAATTTGTATCGACATAAAGTTACCTGTCTTTAAGCAAGACCTCAGGACAAAGGCTCTGCTTACTTAATGTAACATTCTAGTATGTAGGCCTCCATTCCTGAGTTTAGCTAAGTGCTTCTTTGTGTTTTGTGAGATACTGTACATACATAATTCTTAAAGCAGTGGGCAGGCATTACTGAAGTTTTGTGTTTGTGTCTCTGACTACACCACAGGGAAGGCTTGTCTTATTTCTCTTTTTACCTTCTGTGTTCTACGTTCTATCAGGAGAGAACTGTTGTACTCAACAGCAATATGGTTGCCATTTGAAATAATTTACTATTTTAAATATCATGTCAGAAAATCAGCAATTTTTGATGGCTTCACATTATTCTCTAAATTTGGTCTGCTGCAACAAAATGAAAAGTCCTAATTACCAAAATAAGCTGTGACTTTTTGAAAGTTTTGTGACATGCTGCTAAAATGCCGCTTAAAAGTTGTGTTTCCTAGGTCTCTCAAGTTTGTACCTTCCCTGTGTGTGTTCCTTATTCTCTCTCCTCACAACAGTAGACATAATTGTATGTTTCTGGATTATGGAAGCTCTATTGAACAGCTCATTTAGTTAATTCATGAAGCCTAGGAGTAAAAAGAGGTCATAAATTGTCCTTCTAATGGACAATTGCTTACTTTTCTAAATCACAGTGTGCCAGAGATCATATTATGCATGTTTATATGTGAATCTCTACTTCATTCATCTCTGTGTGTGTATGCTTATCCTTCTGATGGCAGTGAATTTCATGTAGGGTTATTGTCCTTTTAAAGAGAAACTATGCCAATTGTGACTAGAATGCAATCCCAGTATTACATTTGAATGTATTCTTAAAACTGAAGTATCAGAGTTAGATGAATGCATTTCTGTCTTTCAGTGAGCTTCAATAATGGTCATCCTTGCTGTTGGCAGTAGCCAAACTAACACCCTGGTGTGAAAATAGTGGCTGAGCTACAGTGTTTTCTGCATAATCTTTGTCACATGTATAATACTGTTGTCACCAAACTTTTTAGATGCAAAGTCTTCAAGAAGAGCAACTTAGAGCAGCCAATTTGTTACTATTCTCACCAGCCTTAGTATTGTCACTTTTTCTTCATAAATAATTTTTAAACTCTAAGTGAGGTACACTTATAATGATATTAGTAATAATAATAGCCTAGAATATCTTCTTTTAATTTCTGTATTTGAAAATGACAGTATAAATCCACATTGACATTATAAAAACTACATTGAATTAAATTTTTTAAAAATGAAAAGGCTTGTTCTAATTTTACATTTAAAATTTTAGTAATTGTTGAATTCAAAACTAAATCTATTTCCTCGAAGTGTTATTTTTGTCAAAAGTCTAGAGAAAAATTCCAACTGTTTGACTTCACTTTAAAAACTCATTTATCATGTTTTCAGAACCGTAGCACCCATGATGCCTGTACAGTAGATAGAAACAAACGAGTTTTCATTCGCTCTCATCACCGTGATCCTACAGCATGGGAACTAAGATGAACTTTCCCACTTTGTTTTCAGGTTTCAGAGATAATATGGTTTGAGTTAAAGATAAACTTCTCAGTTTTAAAAACTATACAGTGCTTAAAACTTTTTTTCTTTACTCTACTTACCCCTACCCTTTTTTCTTGTCAAATAGCTTCATAATCTTTAAATTCTTCTTTCTTTGTCTATTTAAAGGTCGTCTGAGCTATCCACATCCAGGAACTGACAATCTGTTGATGTTAAATGGTAAGTTTTACCACCAATCATTTTATGTTTCCATTTGGTTCATACAAATGAAGATGATTTAATATGTATTCCCCTGAACCTTCCTCCATATAGATAGTTCAGTTGTCTTGTAAAGGTAAAACTGTTCAGGTATGGCTATACTCACCTGTAGCCCCAGCTCTGTGGGATGCTGGGATGAGCATCGTTGACCCATCAAACACTGACTGTCCTGGGTTAACAGAGTGAAGGCACATCTTTTAAAAACATGAAGTAAAGCTGCAAAATTAAGAATCTGCATGTTTTGTCCCTGAAAAAATAGTCATTGAGAAGTGTATTTGTGACAATATAATTCAACCACTCCAAACTCAGGAGCAATCCTTGCTGGGATGATGGAGTTCTATTTCAAGTTGTTACCTAAGACAAGAAACTTAGTTCTTAGTTTCCTGTTTCTCACTCTGTAAACTGGAGATAAAGACAACTTCTAAGGACTAAATAAGATAAAGTGTGCAAAGTAAATAGACCCTAGTACTCAGTATAAGCACTTGTGTTTGTTTTAAGGAATATAACAGTGAATTTATAAATGTAGTAATCACACTGATTTAACTTATTCTAACTTTCCAATTAGAAGTTCAACAGTCAGAAAAGGAAAACTTTGATTAAAATGTTTTTTCTTGACATTGGACAAATATAAATATATTTATAGTCACAAGATTAGCATAAACATGATTATGGGAGTGGAAATGAGGGGGAAAGTCCTTTTAAGGAGGATTTTGAATTGCAATCAAGGAGAAGCAAAGAAAAGGGATACCTATAAATAATATATGCTCAAAATTGCATCATTACGTTGGCTTGGGTCCTTTTCACTTAAAGCTTTATTGAAATAGGATGTAATAAAGGTGTGTAAGCAAATCTGAAAGTGGGGTCACTGTGAAGTTAGGCCATGTACACAATGACGGAAAAGACAGAAGGGTAGAAAGGAAGCCTGTCGCCTGAGGAATGTCAGAAGAGACAGGATTTGGGAATGAGAAAATATTGAAGCACAGTGATAGGGGAGGTGATGGGTTGATCACAACCTGAGTATAATGCCTTGGATTGCCAGACATATGGCAGCCGGGTCTAACCTAGTCTAAACATGTAGCAGACTGGTCTAACCTAGTCTAAGCACTGGGACTTTGAGTAGAGCAATGGTGTTGGAAATGTTATTCAAGGACCTCTTCTAGTCCTTGGTTCTCAGTCTATGACTAACATGGTGGTTGAAACTGAATGTCATTACAAAATAGCTTCTTGTTAATGTTCTGTCCATTTGATTTGTGAAATAGAATAGGCTTAGGTAACAGTTAACTATATATGGATTTACTTCCCTTAAATGTTTATGTAGAAAATAAAAATAAATAATTTTTTATTCTAAAGTCTGAAAAAGTCAGTGAAGTTTCCCATTTTTCGTGTGTCAGAATACATTTGAAAGGAGTACCCCGCAAAATGTGTGAGTTGCATTACTCACAGCTCATCTTACGTTGTTGACTGAAGAGGAGCCCAGGTGATTATGATAGAATACCAGTCATGTAAGCAAGGAACTTAGAAAGGCACAATGGTTTTGCAGTTTATGATGTTGTTGTTATGCTAGGTTATTAATCAGTTGCTTTTGTAAACTGCCTGAAGTTCTATAAATATTGACTAAATTATGCTTCTTCATAAATAAGATATGAAAATATTTTATTTCAGGCAAGTTACATCTAGTAGAAAATGTATTTATTTTATTATTTCTTAAATATGAGCACTCTTAATTGTCTGCATTTGGCAAAGAAAGACAACTTGGGGGTTTTAAACTTTTTTAGCAAGGGATTAGGGAAGGAAAAAGAAGCTAATGACTCTAGGGCATCAACAAATATTCAGGTCAGGACAAGAGCTTTGCTCCAATGAGAAGCATGACCTTTTTTATTCACTGGGGACAAACAGTTAAGAGGTAAAAGAAGATTCACTTAATTGGGTACATCCAAGGGGTGAGGTAAAGAAGTCTTAAAGAGTGAGGCATCAAGGATACTAAGGAGACTGAACAAAGGCAGATAACAGCACTTGATAAGGAGAAATGCAGCTTAGATACGTTTAGCCTGTTATGTTCCCTGGAAACCAAAGAACTGAGTGATGATAATACAAGGTTCTTCCCACATTAAGTAGTTTTTAAATATTACTGACTGATGGTGGAGCATCACTATAGGGTAGTCTGTTAAGTAAGTTGCTTCACCATTACTTATTTTTGTTGTAAGCATAACTAATACTGTTCACTTTAAAGATCAGTTTTGATTACTACATTTTACATCACTGTGCTATGTGAGGTGTGTGGGTAGCATCACAGACTCTAAAGCTTGCTTGCCTTTCTGTACAACCTAGAACAACATGCCTAACTTGACCCTGACTTTATTTCTTAATACCTAAACCAGAGCACACTGCTCGCCACAGGGGACTGTTGAGAGGAGTGAGTGATTCATGCACGTATTTAGAGCAGCTTCTGTGAGTAAGTATTAGCTGGAGAGAGTGAGTAGTGGAAATCAAAGATCATCAGGAGTTAAAGTCGGGTCTTTCAAACAGATGAGGAGCTAGCTGGGCGAGTGCTTCAGATAGCATGACAGGAAGAGACCACATACGTGATGTTTTCAGCTATTGCATATGATGAGCAGAAAACTTGTTTTGTTATTGCAGGAAACCAATAGGAAAGACACTGCATTAGAAATTGTAAGGGAAAAGTTTGGGTCCCTTATTTTCTGCAGTGTAGGATCCTTCTTCCATGGAGTACACAGAATAAATTTCAGTGATACAGACATATTATTATTAAACAAATGCATGACTGTTGCAATTAAGAGCGTTTTTGAGAAAATACATATAGCTGACATAAATAAATGATTGCAGTGATATTAGGCCTAAATATCTTTAATTAAGCATAGTTATGATATAAGTAATAGTAACATAATGCCAGTAAGATATGCTAACATTAGAAAGGCCTTATAATTCCTCCTTACGAGTTGTAGTTAAAGCTTTCAGATAAAGGTTTAAATAAATCTGGGGGTAGGAAGTCAACCAGGATGGTGATCACATGGCCTCTGCTGAACTTATGACTCTAAGCTTCTGCTACTCAGATGCCCCTTAACATGAGATACAGCTACACATCCACACCCGTTTAGCTCATGGAGTTGTATGGACTAAAATTTTTAACAGAAAATGCCATATAAGGTGAAGCATGGTGCCATTAATTGTGGTACTCAGGCGATAGAGAGTAGCAGATCTGTCAGCTGGAGACCAACCTGGTCTACATAACAACTTCTATCTAACCAGGACTGCATAGTGAGACCTTGCCTCAAAAGAAAAAAAAAACAGAATATACATGTAACCACAGAGGGGCTCCTGTTTCTAAATAAACCGTATTCCTCCGGTAAGTTTGGAATCAAGTGGACTTGATGTAGAGACTGCAGTTATTGGTCATTGTAAGTCACGGTTACTGTAAGTCTCTGTTATGTGCCCACAGTTAGTGTTCATCGGCCTTTTAAGAAAGTCACATTATATGCAGGTATAGACTGTTTAAAAGCCCAATTTTAAATAGTTAGAACAATAGTTTGTTTACATATCTGAGTGTATAAACCTAGCACATATAGTATCAGGAGAAAAAAATCTGTGCCAGAAATCTGTGTGTTTTCTGCAGTATAATGAATAATATATGTCAAGTATTTGTCTCTATTTGGATTGAATTGCATTTTCCTCACTTTTCCCAAAGAAAATAACATATTTTTATTAGTACCCTCTCACAAGATGGGAACCAACAGAGCAAAGTATCAGGTGAGGGAAAAGGTATTAGCAAGCTAGTTTGAACTTTAAATTTGCATTTGTTATCATATATACAACTACCTATGTGATCAGAGTTTGTTTTATTTTTGGAGTGAATGAATTATAGGTATCTTTTAATTAAGGAAATGTACCCAAGGTTGGCATGATGGTGCATACCCATCATCCTAGCACTTGGGAGGTGGAGGTAGGAGAATCCTTCCTCAACTGTGTAGTGAATTTGAAGCCAGCGTGGGCTAGATGAGACCCTATTATTATTGATCCTATACTTCTAAAGACAGATGCTCCAAATCTGCTGTATCAGTTTATGGAGCTAGGAAACCAGGGAGGATAAAGGGAATGGATGAAGATGTAGGGTTTTGAAAAGGACTGTTATTTGGGTCATAGGTTTTTGTTTGTTTGTTTGTTTTTGTTTTTTTGGTTTTTTTTCTTATTTTTTAGTTTTGCCTTCTTTATGCTGGAGAAATAATACTCGCTTTTGTTTCTTACAAAAAAGAACATTAAACATATTTCTAGTTGATTTTGTATATTTTCCTATGCTACCTTTTAGCTAAAGTAATTTAGTTAGAGAGTTGAGAACCAGTACTTAAGAACAGACGTCCCTAAACAGAGTATAAAAAATCATTCTGTTTCCTTATTGTCACTGTGGCTAGAACCTGAATTAGATCATTGGTAATCCTTTCTGAATTTTACAGTTACTTGTATAGAAGACATCAAACTACTTCTGAGCCTCCTTTATACGTAGAGAAAGCATCAGTAATATAGGTATATGTTTGTATTAAATATTCCTACATGTCAAAAATAGGCAATTCTTCACTTTTTAATCTGGTACTTTTTTATAAATGATTTTTATAAAAAAAATTTAAAAGAATAAATCATTACCCTTTGCACTTTAAACCATTTTTATTTGGAGGTTCAGACTGTTCAATGAAGACTTTTTTGTTTGTTATTTTGATAGTATTCTTTTTTTCTTTTTACATACCAATCCTAGTTCCCCCTCCCTCTACTCCTCCTGTTTTCCCCACCTTTCCCCCACCCCACCCATCTGCTCAAAAGTGACGGTAAGGCCTCCCCTGGGGAAGTCAACTAAGTTTGTACCACCACCTCATTGAGGGAGACCACCCCCCCCCCCACCTCCAGTACGTAGGCTGAGCAAGGTATCTCTCCATAGAGAATGGGCTCCAGAAAGTCAATTCATGCATTAGGGTTAGGTCCTGGTCCCACTATCAGTTGTCCCATATACTATCCAAGACACACCATTGACCCCTGAATTCAGGGGACCTAGTTGTTAGTCGGGTTTCAGTAATCTCCCAGTAGCTTTTGTCGGCTGATTCTGTGGATTTCCTCATCGTGATCTTGACCTCTTTGTTATTACTGCTCCTCCCTCACTTCGATTGTATTCCTGGAGCTCAGCCCAGTGCTTACTTCTGGATGGATATCTGCATCTTGGCTGGCTCGTTAAAGGCTAGGCTCACAACCAAAGAAGGCTTTTTAAAAACATAATATTCATGTAGACTGTTTTTGGTAGAGTTACTTGACTATTCTGCTGCAGAGTTATGCTGAAACAAACCCCAGAACTCCACATAGAAACCTTATTAGAAATGTGTCTTAGACATATCGTGTTCAGTACAGCGGTAGCAAAATGGTGATTTCCATAGTAGGGTAGAAAATGTTTTGCATAGTTTAACTTCATTTGTAGTCAATTCTCTCTTACTTATTCATCTCCCCACACCATGCATGTGGTGTCAGGGTGTGGGGACTGTGCGTATGCCATATTGTCCCTATGGAAGTCAGGACAAAAGCCAGGAGGTGTTCTCTTCCGGGTTGGGTTCCCAGGATTGAACCCAGGCCTTCTGGCTTACATGGCAAGTGCCTTAACCCATTGATTATCACACTAGACAGACTTCTGGTTTTAGTGATATAGAGACTTCAAATCTGAGAGTTGTCCAGATTCAGAAATTCCTCTGGTATGAGATAATCGGGAAAATTTTCATGCCCAGGAATGGCATGAAACTTAGGTTGCTATAAATATTTACATGTTTTCACTATTTTAGTATTGAGAAGCCCCATCTAGAGTGTGAAAGTTAAGAACATTAGCAGGATTACTGTTGCATTACTAGGTTGGGAATTATTTTCCACATTCTGACTTCATCACAATTTATAGTTTGATTTCAAACTTGTTGAAAATAGTTTCATTTGTTTTATGAATCTTTGATTTCTGAATCATTGTTGAAATTCTCCAAAGTAAACTTAACTTTGATTAATATTATTGGCCCATCCCAAGGAAAAGCAAAGAAACCCAGCTCCTGAGATTTTGCTGTGCAACATCTATGCTATGTTGTGGGGCCCGTTGACCACTTGAAGGCTTAATATAACTGTTAAGAATTAAGGAATTTCATTCTCCTTTACCTAATAGCTCTGTTTAAATTATGTTTTTCAACATGATCTTCTACATTTAGTTTCTCATTAGGATGAAACTATTTTAAAAGCCTGTTTACATCTTAAGAATTGATAATAAAATTCTTTAAGTGTTGTCTACCTTTACCCTCACAGTAAAATGACACATATGTTAAGTAAGATGTGCAGACTTTGAGTCCATTTGCACTGAATAACAGATTGAGTATACTCCATAGTGACAGAGATAAAGCTGGTTAGCTTCCTTAAAAGAATGGTAGATGCCTTCTGCTTATTGACTTATTTCTTAGAAATAGAAACGATAATAGCTGACATCCTTTGCCTTCCCTATTCATTATTATAGGAGAATTTAATCCATATTGGCCTACGGTAGCATTTCTTTATAGCAAAGATCAAGATATATCCTTTTAAAATTTATACAACACAGTACATACTTAGTGGGTGAAACACATCTTTTGACCTTTAAGTTTTATACTTTAGAGAGAGGATATTTCTGGCAATTTCTAATAAAAATTGTGAATTGAGGTTTTTTTTCAGTATTGAAATTTTCTTGCTTCCCCAATCTATAAACATAAATTAAGACCTCAGTCTTATAGCATTCATTTTATTTTGTTTATTGTGTGCTTCATATAAATTATCAAGTAAAACACTCATTGTATGCACTGATTGAAGGGAAAAATTTTTCTCAACATTGGTAGTTTCTTATGAAGGAGAAATCATATTCATACACTATCCACAGGGATAATGTAAACTTTCAGTTTCTTTCTACTTCATATTGCTAGTATTTATCATTCTATGAGGGTAGTATTCCTAATTTGCACTAGATTTTTTTTTTACCCAGAGGCAGGCACGTAGTCAGTTGCTCTTATAAATTTGTCAGAAGACTAGAAAGTGTCATTTATGTCATTTGCTGCAGTCTCTTACTGCTTCCCTAAGCATCTTTGAACTCAGCTTTGATTACAGGACTTAGACTCCTATCTCAGTAATCATGACTCCTAACAATCTATATATATCTTCTGGTCCTCCCTCAATCAGGGTGTGGTGCAGCAGGTGGAGTCTACATAGGTGGTGAACAATATGTATCATACAACTTTTTATCAAAATAAAAATGGGAATTTAATTGAAGCTAGTTTCATTCATTGAGAAAGTGATTTGGGAAGCTATTTAACTTAATTGTTAAGGCTTTCTGTAATGATTAGGTGAAACAAGTACTTGTGAGTTTTAAATGTGAATTGGGATAAATTTTACATGTTTGGATGACTCAGATTGCATGTGTACAAAATATTCGTAAAAGGATATATCTGACATATATCACATGTATGTCTGTATTTATGTATAATTGTAATGATAAAATATGCATATTTTAATTGCTGACATTCTCATGTCTTAAAATAGAGTATCTAAATGCCCACATGACTTTTCATATCATGGTATTTGTATGTGTGGGCTTATTTTTAGTTCTAACATTTTACAATTTGTCCTTTGTTTACATGCAGCAAGGAGTTATGGGCGAAGACGAGGTAATTCATTTCTGTTTGCTATAGTTCATCTGTTTCTAATCGGGCTATATTGATCAATGTCATAATTCTGATTTCAGAATTCTTTATGCAATATCTGAAAGCTCCTAGCAGAATCACATATTGTTGTGAGAACTTACCAACTTTTCAAATTCTAACTTTTAACCTACAATGGTGTATTTTCATACTAATGGTCATTAAATAAATTTTGTCCTCCTTAAACTGTCAAAATTTTTAACTCTTATTAAAAATTATATCTATTTCTTCTAAAATAAGGCTGTTTTATCTGCCTAAGAAATAAGTTTTTACTATTAACCAGAGTGACATGTGATGTGATTTTTCTACTGTATAACCAATTTCTTATCAATGATTGTGACTTTTGTTTGACCCAGTTGGAAATGACACCTGTGTAAGTAGATTACTGTCATTGGCAGAAACCACGTAGCCAATGTTTCCGTGACGCTGTGGTCCTGTCAGCAGCCCCTTTGTCTAGCCTGCACAACATTGTCCTTTTTCTACCTTCTTCGTCATAACAGGATTTCCTTGAGCATTCTTTTTGGTGCCAAGGGACGAGACTTTATGGTATGAGGCCACCACTGAACTGCTCAGAACACAGGAACACCTTCTGTGACTGAAACTTTGCCCAAGCCAACATAAAAAGAAGCAAAATCACCTGATAGTTCTATAGTTCATACCTGATAGTTCTATAGTTCTGCACACTGAATAAAAAGCATTTGCTCTCACCTCTAGAATTTTCCTGAAGCCAAGGAAGATAGACCGTAATAGCTGTGACCTTGGTTATATTTTACATGTGTGTGGTAGTGTCCTTATCTGTTGACCAGCGCCTTCCCTAATAACACAAAAACAAAACCAGTTACCACCACTGACAACCAAGGCGAATACTTTATGTTCATAAACAGTAACTCAAATTCCATATTTCAATTTTATTGCTAGAGTCTTGACTCTCCAAATACTTGACTGAATCTCTGGGTTCTTCACTTTTCAAAAAACTGGAAGAGAGTGAGGCTGATTTACTTTCTAAAGGCTGTTCATAGTGAGCTGAGAAGAGAGTGGGAAGGTTACAGTGTTCATACCTATTTTTAGATCTGTGACCTAGCTCACTTCACAATCAAGTGTGGAACTTTGATTATCTTGAAAATAACTATCTACCAATCTGATTTTTCAGTAATTCCTTTCATGTCTGAAACATTGTGTCCATTATCTCTAGTAACTTGTGTTAAGTCAGTTGGGCATACTCTGTATAAATATAATATGCTTAATTTTTAAGGGCAAGGTATCAGAGTCAGTGATTTTCTTATTATAGCTCAGCTCAGTAACTGCAAACTATGACACTAAGAAGGAAAACGGACATTTAATTCCTTGCTGCTCAGATAGAGACCGGTTACCTACCTAGCTGTGTCTCCTTGGGGAGCTGTAAAGAGAGGCGCTCCATTTCAGAGCCACCTAGGCACACCACAGGCAGGTGTAAGACTCCAAGTCCTCCTCTTGTCCTGAGCTGGCAGCCTCTGCACACAGTTGGTGCAGTAGAAAGGGAGCTGCAGCCTTTTTCCTCAGGTTGTGAGCACAGCTGTAACAGATGTGGCTGTCCTCTAGGGGTTGCTGCCACAGTTCAGTTTGAATGGCCAGCTTGAAGTCTAGCTGCTGTGAGATTTTATTTCCTTTTGGTAGTACCTAGCTTGCTAAGTAATAGAAATGTTTTACAAGAAAAAGCTGCATACTAGAAGAACGCGCAGAAAGAAGTAGAGATGCTTCCCTGGCTGTCTTTCTATTTTCTCTTTATTTTCCCCTCATGCTGATACAGTACCAATCTCTAAACCTAGCCAACCAGGAATCCCCTATTATGAACTTGTGCTGTGGATTTGATGGGCTAGTGAAATGGTGTGTGTTCATTTTGGTCTTTCTTTTATGTTAGAATAAATAAAGCCTCTCTGTTCTTGAGGGATGTGTCAAAATGAGTTGGCACGATTGGCCAAAACCAAGTCCTGGCTGGCACCAGCACACTGGGGGTGGGGCAGCATCAAATGTCAGAGGGCAGTCTGGCTTCCAGTGGCCATTTGATTTTAGAAAGAACTGGTTTACTCCTTCCACCTTTGATTGACCTCTCAGTGAAGCATAGGGCAGCACTCTTTTGTTTTAAAGACTTCCCACTTGACTATAGTTAAACTAAATTACTGCCAAATGTCTTTGATATATTTCCAGTTCCTTAATAATGTCAATAAGAACTTTACATCAAGCCGGCTCTAGATATTGATTTATGAAATAAGCCTTAGAGATGATCAAAGTATAATTATACCAGAAGTAATTGAGCAAAACCAAGATTCCTTTCTCTGAATGTCAGGAGCCTTGGGCCATGGGAAGCTCTGCAGCATTAGGAAAGAACAGGGCACATGGAAACTCCTTGACATCAGGAAATTGCTTTTCTTTTGTAGTTACTATTTTGTTCAGTGTTCTTTCCATCCCCTTCTGAGAATGAGCATACTGGTCTGGGGTGGAATATGGTCAGGACTGTGCTAAAAGTGTATAGGACTATTTAAACTCTTTCATTCAGAATTTTCTACTTCTGTCATAATCCCTCCTTTTTATGAGTATTCATTAAATTTATTCATTTATTTTACATCCCAAACCCCTACCGCAATTTCCCCTCTCTTCTCTCCTCCTATTCCCTCACTCCAGTTTCCCCACCCCCAAGTCCACTCCTCGTTGTTTCTGTTCAGAAAGGGGCAGACCTCCCATGGGTGTCAACAAAGCATGGCATATCAAGTTGAGGTAGGACTAAGCTCCTTGCCTTGCTTGGCAAGGCAACCCAGTATAAGAATAGGTTCCTGGAAACCAGCCAAAGAGTTAGGACAATTCCTCTTTCTAATAGAAGAATAAACAGCTATTGTTTTCCAGAAAGAAAAAAAAAACATAGGATAGTTTGAATAGTAGAAATAAAGAACTTACTTTAATTAATTTACTAAGCCTCAGGAAGCATTTTTTTTCTTTAGAAATTAATTCCAAAGTTGGTAGCTTGCATATAGAATGAGAGGATTTGAGAAATAATTTTAGAGGGAGTAAGTTTTGGAAGTTGCTGAGGTTTGGTATGTTCACAGTGTGTAGCCATCTAGATTCAGTGCCACTGTTTATAACTGACAGTTTAATATAGAACATATTGCTTATTTAAAGTTGAACTGAAATGTAAAATGTGTGTATTCATGCCCTACCTTCCCACATCTTTGATAAGTAATTAAAATAGTTAATCAGAGAAATGACAGGAGTCCCTAAAGCATGAGAAACATCCACATAGTATCTGCGAGGAGGGATGCCCGGCCTTGGCCTGAGGGCACAGCCTCTGTGATTCTGCAGTGTTTAGATTTGATGGCAGCACTGGCATTATCTACTATTTTGGTTTGTTTATTTGTCTTGTTTAGTTTGTTTCCTACTTTGGTCACCCTGGAGCTACATGATAGCAGAGTTGAATTGTAGCAGAGTGCACTGCTTGTAAAATGTAATTTACAGCTCCAAAAAGGCTGCTCTGCAAGCTGTGCCCTGCCACACCAGTTTTTTAAAGAAAACAGAATCCCAGTGTACTTAATTGTAAGGCAAGTATACCTAGTGATTAAGCTTTTTAAAGAGATAGACTGCTCGCATAGAATGGATGGTTTTTTTGGTTCTTTATATTCTGTAAGAAAGGGGGCAAACTATTATTGGGGCAAAATATCTTAAAAATAATCATTGTACGTTAAGTAGTAGATTTTTTCCTTCTTGAAAGAAACATACCGGGTAAAAGACTGGTTGCTCGAATTGGCATTGCTCAAAAGTACTGATAACTAAAAAAAAAACTTGCATCACACTAAAGGGTATTTATGCTTCCATCCTAGAAGATAGAAAGAATATTCCGATTCCCATTAATTTTAAATTTCTGTAATTTCATATTTTTAAAATTTCACAACATTCTATAAATAAGATTATGGAACAATCTATAAAAGTCAAAGAATCGTGCTTAGAGTCAGTCTATAATTTGACTGATTTGTACAGATATGATTCCCTCCCTTATCTCCTCATTGATATGTTGAGAAATGTCTATTCTTACATTCTAGAATAAATTCAAAATCTGAAAAATCAAGTAGAACCAAATCTGAGTATGTTGGCAAAGCATCAGCATCAGCTTCCCTGATGTGCGCATGTATGTTACACACACACTGTCCACACAGGTGGATGAGATGGGATCAGGGAGACGGCCATCAACATTAGTAACAATATTATTGAGCATCCAGCTTGCATTTTCCTGACAAGAATGATAAACTTGGAATATATTTTTATATATTTATATTTTAAATCAATGATTTATATATTATTATTCTTTCAAGTGAGTATTAAAATTCATTGTTTTTATGACCTTTTGAGAGAAAGCAATCATTGTTTTCTAAAAATGAAGATTTGTATGAGTGTGACTAGTATGTGAAATATTCTCAGCCACTCTGTTGCGTCCGTTGTTCATCTGAGCTTTAGTTAATGCGTTGTACATTCTGTACATAGTTAGAGCAATACAACACTTAGTTACTGAGTGAATGATAAGGTTTCAGCACATTTACCATGAAGTATATGTACCACGTTATAGTTCGGAAATATCTTAAGTGACTTTGGGTCACCTCTTATTCCTGTTTAGATTCTAACTATTTGTGATCTGTGTTTTTTTCCCAAGAAAAAAATTCTTTTAGAATTTTGTTTATTGTATTTATGGATTGTTAGTTTTGCATAAAAATACCTCAAAATGATACTGTGTGCAAAATATTAGCATGTCTAAGTTCAGTCAGCATTTGGATAGTCATCTTAATTTCCCTAAGATCTAAGCAGTTGCTTCCCTACTCATCTTACTCTTTTTAAAATATAAAATTATTCAGTTAAAGTAAGATAAGTTGAATGATTAATTCACAATTTATTAATGTTTAATGGATGTTGGTGGTGGTCATTTTATTGAGGGAGAAAAAGGAAGGAAGGATGAAGGGAGGGAGGAAAAAAAGGTGGATGGAGGGAGGGAAGAAAGGGAGGGAGGGAGGGAGACAGACAAGATGTGTACTCTTAGTCTGAAAATTCAAATTCTAAGAAATAACAAAGCAAGAACCATTCCTTGCCTAAGTATTTCAGAGAAAGGATATTTGATCTATAATTTTTTGTTGAAGAATTTTTACATTGATCACAAATAAAATATAGACATTTATTTCTTATTGTCCCCTATTTTTGATAACAGAAAATTTTGGAATTTAAACTGTTACTCAAAATATGTATTCCTATGTTGCTGTGTCAAAAGGCATTTTACAGCAAAGTGAGAGATGTCTGCTGTAGACAGCAGCAGGTGCTGTCTGGTGCATATGATTAGGTTTGTAGAGGCTATTCCAGCTCTCCATACTCAGTCAGTCAGCTTTGTAGAGTCCTTCGCCTGTGTGGCTTTTTGCTCTGGTGACTCCATTTTAGACTGGTTCCTTTATTTTTATGGGCATGTAGCTCTCCCCTTCTTCCCCATCCAATTCTCCACAAGATGCCATAATCCTAATTTTATTTATAACACATCATCATGAGTCACATAGTTCAAGATGGTAACATGTTAATCATATTTTAATTAAGCATTTATTTCTAGATTAAGGTATGTTATTAGAGTGTACACTTGTCTCTTTGTTCTAAAAATATATCCTTGATTTAGTCTTCAAAGAACAGCTTGTCTGCATTGTTACCCTTTTCCCTTCTCTAATACCTTTCTGAAGACTAATCTTCATTTGATAACTGTATTGTACTAAATATGTACAATACAGCATATCACTACATGTGGCAGCCACCCAGCTTCTTAAGATTGGTACCAACAAATGTTAGGCTACCCTCAAACAGTTTTTATTTCTTGAAATTATTGTATCAATTTGCTTACCTTTTCCTTTTTCCCTCCTGACCTCTCTGATGCTTCTGTCATAGTGCTGCTTGGGCTTCTCGCTTTCTTTCTCATCCTTTGTGTAGTGGAAGTTCCATGCCTTCTGTGTTTACCAAGGAGCTGCCCTCCTCATTTCTTCCCCGAGTTTTCATCACTGATATTTCCAATCCTTCCTTGGAAAGCTGTTTACTTGAAAAACAGTTCCCTTTTTTCTCCACTCTGAAGCATTTGAAGCTTTATATATGGTTCCACCCATGTCCTTTCCTTGTACCTGTATCTGACATTTACTTCTTTGTATTCCGTCAACGTGGGACTTTCTTTGGCTACTTCCTGTCCACTGTTGTTTCTCTTTCATTTCTCATCCTTGTTTTCTTGCCTTCCCTGTAGTCTGGAGCCTCCCCTAATCTCAGCTGCTGCTTTGTCTTCCTCAGTCGTCAGTCTTAGGATGTCACATTCTTGCTGGGTCTTCTGCACCTAGATGTTTGTTTGCTGGGTTTTTTTGTTTGTTTGGTTTTTGGTTTTTTTTCCACCTACTCAATAAAATATTATCTTATAAGGGTAAATTCTGCTAACCTCTAAGGGCTTTTCCTTTATTATGTCTGGCTTGTTTCAGTCATTTGTTACCTAGTACCCTTGGAGATTCAAGAACTTACCATGGTATTCAGTACACTATTGCTTCCGTCTAGTCTACTGCCTTTGAAGCATTTGTAGAATTTCTTAGAGATAGATGCCATCCTTACATGTATAGATCTTGCCTTGCCTATGTGTGCATTTCTTGAGGGCAAGGTACTATATTTTGTTGAGTCATTTTATTTTGTGTGAGCATACAGGGCATCAGCATTAATTAATAAGATTACACAAGACATGCCCTTAAAGGGATGCATTCCTGAAGAGTGGACTCAAATAGGAACTAGAATCCTAAGATGCTGTTCTTTACCTCCCACATGTGCATAAGTCCCCTCTGCATGGTCATATGATCGTCATATGTGATAAATTACCTCAAGACCTATAGACACATAGGACTTTCTGCTTACGATAGCATCTTAAGTGTTTTCTTGTAGTTTTTTTGTTGTTGTTGGTTATTTTGTTTCTTTCAGAATGTCCTCTTGCCTATTTAACTTACACTGTTCACTTTTTACCACTAGTTTCTAAAGAATGTAGTTACACATTCCGGCCTGTTTCCTATATAGTAGGCTCTTTCTGCTATCCATAAACATTTGAAATGAGCCAGCAAATTTATTGTTTCTTTTGTGCCGTAGCTATTGTCATGTGACTCTATTTCTTTTGCTTTTGTTGCTGGGGATGGACTTGGAGTCTCATCTGTGCTAGACAAGCCTCGCCCCTGACCACTTCCTCAACTCAGCTCTGTTTATCTTTGGGCCTTACTCGAGTCTCTTCTCTAGAACCTTGCTGCTCTGCTGTCTGTATTCCCAGTCATGTCGATGACACGTCAGCTTAGTATCTAACCCCGGACATTTGGCATCTGTTTGCTTGCCTTTGTTTTGTCATTTTAAATGTAAGAGATTGAGTTTATAGTTGTCCTTATATTTTAGGTCGATCGTCCCTGTTTCCAATAGACGATAGCTTGTTGGACGATGGTCACAGTGATCAAGTTGGTGTTTTAAATTCACCCACATGTTATTCAGCTCATCAAAATGGAGAACGAATAGAACGCTTCTCTCGAAAAGTTTTTGTTGGTGGACTTCCTCCAGATATTGATGAAGGTAAGTTCATCCTGCCTTAAAAACAAAATGTAGTAAAAAGTAATTTTTGAGTTCAGTTATTTGAACAAGGACTTTTAAGTTCTAGTGATTTTTAGCATATGCATCATCACTGTGAGCATTTTTATGAAGGTCTCTGTGTTCTAGCCCATATCCTAATGTTTAATGCAGAACACACATGCCAATATCTGTGTGACTGTAACACACACATGGATTCCTATGCTCACATACACAGTGCAATAGATGGAACCAGCTATAAATCTCTATCTGTAGTGTGCAAAAATCAAAGATTAAATTTCTTGAAATTTATCAATTTACTTAAAGATAGAGAAATACAGTATGAAATTCAATAAGGAAGTAGAAATACAACATAAAATAGGAAATTAGTACTATGCAAATGTTAGTTAATATGTAATAATACAGAAAAATAACTTAAAGGTTAAAAAATATTTAAACTATGCTTATAATGTCATGAGAAATCTACCCATTCGTTAATAGCCTACAGAGAAGATATTGCTACATTTGGAGAATATTTTCAGTTATTATTCATATATTTGCAAATATGTCTGCATATTCATCAGCTTAACATAGACTATATCATTGAAATTGAACAATACAGTATTTGAATGTCAATAAAATTGCCTGGGTTATATTAGAGGTGGTATGACATTATAGCTAGTCTTGTTTCAGTAGACTTTATCCTAGCATGAACATGATTTTACTTGTGAACACGAATAGCTGTTTTAATTAACTTGATAATAATGGCATGTTTCAGCTCAGCGCTAGTCTGATTGGCTATACTACAAAGTTGTTAGTACTCAGGTGATGTACGAAATAATAGGACTCACATTGAATACCATAGTCTAGCTAGTGTGCTGCTTAAAAATGAATTTATTTTGACACAATAGTGAAGTTTTATTAAGTGTTTTAGTAAAGATCTATTTTTCTTTTTACATTAGAGTTAATCTTAAGGTATTTGACACTTTAAACATCAAGTCTTCCAGGTACTTAGAAATACGGGGTTTCTTGGGATGAATCATTAGAACTAACTTGTGATGCACACTCTGTACTTTTCTAAGATGAGATCACTGCCAGCTTCAGAAGATTTGGACCTTTGGTAGTCGATTGGCCCCATAAAGCAGAAAGCAAATCCTATTTTCCACCAAAAGGTAAGAGGTTTATTACTAATATTTGTGAAGTTGTAGGAGAGCAAAAGAAATAATATCAACTACTTATTTGAGGACTTCTTTTAGAATTGAACATAAGTACCTTTCTATAAATACTAGAGATTTATGGACTGCGGAGATGACTTACCCAGCAAAGGCTCTCGCACACAAGCCTAAGTTCGACCCTAGATCCCATGTAAAGGGAGGAGGAGAGAACTGGCTCCTGAAAGTGTTTTTCTGACCTCCATACAGATAATGAATAAAAGCCGTTTTAAAATTAATCTTTGTAGAGACCGTCAGTCTGAGTGGAGTGAGGCAGAGCGATTTTAAGAACTGCTCCAGTTTTACTTGAAGCTGTTAAGGAGTCATAAGATTTGATAACTTTCCTCAAAATTTTCTAATGATTTGATAAATTCAAATGAGTATATGTTTGAATATGTCTCTGCCTAAAGCATTAGTCTAAAGTTACACGGATTCAAACTTACTTTCCATTCTGTGAGAGCAAGAAGCACATGAAGTGATTCGTTCACATTTATAAAATAAAACCGTTTACATAATTTACAAGGAATACACAAACAGGTGATAATGTGGCACAGCATTGGGAAAGTAACTTTTTGAGCATTTTGAACTCACTGTCCAGTATTTATAAAAGAGTAAACTGCCAGAGGAAGAAGGAGCAAAACGTTTGTCCATGAGACTTCAGTTACTCGGGAAATAGGCCACCATCCTAATGAAATTTAAAAAAAAAAAAAATCCTGTATGGTGAAGGAATCAACCAAGTGAAGAGATGGCCTACTGCTAGAGGATGGAAGGAAAATCTTCACAGCTTTGTGGCATGAGATTAATATCTTAAATAAATATACAGAGAACTCAACAGACCAACAAGAAAGCACATGACCAAACCAAAAATGAAGTAAATAGATTTCTTTAAAAAAAAAAAAAGTACAAATGAACAATAAGTCACTTACAAAGCATTCAACAGTTCAATCATCAGAGAAATGCAAATTAAAACTACTTTGAGATTTCTTCTCACTCTCATAAAGAACGACTATCATCAAGAAAGCAAGCAAATGCTTGTAGGGTGTGGGAAAGAAGAGCCCACTCATTGGTGACAGAACACATCCCGGGAAGCCACCAAGTAAATCAGTGCAGAGATTTCCCAAAATACAGAAAATAGAGTTATCATTTGATCCAGTTGTGCTACAGCCTGCTATGCATCCAGAGAGGACTTTGTATAAACCTCACAGACAGCTTGCACATTCTTGTTTACTGCTGCTCTGTTTATGAGAGGTGAGAAAGGGAATTAGTCTGGCTCCCTCTCACCTGGCGAAGAGATAATGAAAATGACATTTAAATACACAGTAGACTTTTATTCAATCATAAAGAAAAGTTAAATTAATAAAATTTTGGAAAAATATGTGGAAGTAAAAAATATATTAAGTGAGGTTACTCAGCAAGAAAGACAATGTCACTGTCTCTTTCATATGTAGATCTAGTTTTTAATTTTTAGCGTATCTATTTTTATGTGGAAATGAATGTGCATAGCAGTCAGAAAACTAGAAAGGGGCCATGAGACAGGAAAGGAAAAGAGGCTGCGGGGGGCTAAGGGAAAGGATGGTAGAGTGCATGTGGGGCGAAAGGAGCACTGGCGGAAGGGCTTGAGTGGGGTGAGAGCAGAGAGAGGAGTAAGGACTTTGGAGGCATAGCGGTCAGCAATGCCCAAATGTGTATGAATTGCCCTAAGGAAACCTGCTTCTTAGTCAACTAGCTAAAAATAATTTTTAAAAGGGTAAATGTGAGAAATAAATGTAGTTGCTTGGATCACTTACTGCTAGGATAATTCTGTGGCTCATCGATACACAGAAGTCCCTGCCATGCTTATGCTCCTGTACAAGTCATGTGATCAAGGATACGTTTCCTGGGGAAAGGAGGTTATGTTCCCAACAATGGGAAGAAAGGGTAAAGAAGCACTGATATTATTGCCATTCAGAAATACAAATGGCAAATTATCCATAGTGAGTAAAGAGGGATACATTGAAGAACTTTTAGTTTAATATCCTTAAAACAGGTCTGGAAAAATAGTCTCATGGCTGAGAGGATTAACAGGTCTGGATAAGGCACCTGTAAGCTCCCACCCATACCCACCTGGATTGCTCCAGCCACCCTTCTGCAGCTACGTGCTGTGTTCTCTCACTTGTTGCTGTGGTCTGGACACAGCAGTCTCTGAAAGCACAACAAATTCCTAAAATTTCACTGCTGGGGTAAAGGCAAACCTGTGTCTGTCCCACGTGATCTCACATCTCTCTCACTGCTGCTGTTATTTCTCGTCCTCTTCCAAGTCCCACAGTACTGTCTGCTCCAGGACCTCTCTATACAGTGTTCTCTTGTCATGAAGTTTTCGTGCCTCTGTCCTGCAATATTGCCATGTGTGTGTGTCTGTCTGTCTGTCTGTCTGTCTGTCTGTCTCTGTGTGTGTCTGTGTGTGTGTGTGTGTGTGTGTGTGTGTGTGTGTGAGAAAGAGAGAGAGAGGAGAGGGAGAGAGGAGAAAGACAAAGAGGGAGAAGAGGAGAGGAGAGAGATGGGATATTATGTTCTCTGTGGAAAGCAGAATGATTCAAACCTATTTGATTGGCTTTATGTATCTTAACAGTACTTATATTGAGGTAAAGTCACTTAACTTGACATGCATCATTTTTTATGGTTATTCCAGGCTATGCATTCCTCCTCTTTCAAGAAGAGAGCTCAGTTCAGGCGCTCATTGATGCTTGCATTGAAGAAGATGGAAAGCTCTACTTGTGTGTTTCCAGCCCTACGATCAAGGACAAGCCTGTAAGTAAACAGCACATTAACTGTGGCCTATAAAAGCAGGTGTTCAAACACGATTTTAAAATTACTGTTTTAAAAATTAAGACTGCACTAAAAGTATTAAACAGTAAAATGAATAATTTTCTCCACAGGTTCAAATCCGTCCTTGGAATTTAAGTGATAGTGATTTCGTCATGGACGGTTCTCAACCTTTGGATCCCAGAAAAACAATTTTTGTTGGAGGTGTTCCTAGGCCATTAAGGGCTGGTAAGTAGACTTCCTAAGTCATACAAACTTGTCTTCTCTTTTTGTTGATTTTGGTATATAAGGAACTATGAGCTTTTCTACGTTTGAGTTATTAACTGAACATAGTATTTTTTTTTATTATTAAAAAATTTCTGCCTCTTCTCTACCTCCCATTTCTCTTCCCCTCCCCCCTCCTCCTCCCTCTCCAGTCCAAAGAGCACTCAGGGTTCCCTGCCCTGTGGGAAGTCCAAGATCCTCCCCCCTCCATTCAGGTTCAGGAAGGTGCTCAACCAAACAGACTAGGCTCCCACAAAGGCAGTACATGCAGTAGGATCAAAACTCAGTGCGATTGTCCTTGGCTTCTCAGTCAGCCCTCATTGTCCGCTGGCCTTGGTGAGCTCCTATTAGATCAGCCCCACCATCTCAGTGGGTGGGCACACCCTTTGCGGTCCTGACTTCCTTGCTCATGTTCTCCCTCCTTCTGCTCCTCATTTGGGCCTTGGGAGTTCATTCCAGTGCTCCAATGTGGGTCTCTGTCTCTGTCTCCATCCACCGCCAGATGAAGGTTCTATGGTGATATACAAGATACTCATCAGTGTGACTATAGGATAGGGCCACTTCAGCTTCCTCTCCTCAGCTGCCCAAGGAACTTAGTATTTTAAATGAGTGAATTGCAAAGTTCTGTTTCTCAGTAACTAGTAACCAAAACTCGGAAGGCTGTCAAGTGGGGCCTAATTATACGTGTGAGTATTTACTGAATGTGCATGCTATGTTGTGTCACACCCTCTGAAAGAGCTAGTGAAAAGAGCTTGCAGTCTCTGAAAGCAGCCTCCTCATGTCAGGGAGATACAAATTAACGTTACACATGTGAACTCTTTAAGAATGTGATAACCGCTGCAAAAGAAGATGATTTGGGAGTAGGAATGCATGTGTGTGTGTGTTTATATATTCATATATTTGTAAATATATGAATGCAGTATGTCCATATTTAGAATATACTATGGTGTGGGTGTGATATCTTAAAAATATTTAAGCTGTTTTAAAAAACTGAAGAGAGTTTGGACAATAGGAGCGTTGTGAAGAGTGTGTTTCAGACAATGACAGAGTGGACAGCATCTTTGGAAGCCAAGTGCAGAGGAGCAGAGGATATCCATGGAGGGACTGTATAAAGTGTAGACTGGATGACCTAGGGTGCATAGAGTTATGGAAGAGATACAAAAAGATGTTGGGAAAAAAATCAACAAAAGTTAGATCATGCAAGTCTAATAGACTAATTGATGTTGATCCTTAAAACAAGAGGATTTTTTAAGCCAAAGAGATACATAATCACATGGGCCTGTTTTGGGGAAGATCAGATAAGCTGATGATTCATCAAGAAGAGTTCGAGTAAATAAATAATGGTAGGCCAGGTTCGGGCCTCTTGCATGGGATTGCTAGTGAGGGTAGAGAAGGAACAGTTGGTCTGATATTTGAATACTTAGGCAGAAAATGCTTCTGGGTGGTTGGTGATGGATTGTAAATAGCTATGAGAAATGGCAAAGGAGATTGGGATTTTGGTTATGAATATAAGTTCGTGGCCCCATTCAGAAATCTGAAGTGGAAATTTCAACTAAACAATGTGGTATCTAGTATAGTGTTTAAAAAAGTTATTTCTGGTGTTTTGGAAATAAATTGGAGAGAAAGGATTGAAGACAAACAGTTAAGCTGGTTTCCATTAACCAAATGGATTTTAAAGCAGACCTGACTGATGGAAGTAGGCCATTGGATTCTCACTATGTTATGAAAAGCAAGTCTATGAGGTTATCTGTATAGTGAAAATGAAAGATGAAGGCAGAAACTCTGTTGCTTACCCAGTTGAGTCAATGAAAACTCATCAGATCATGTTTCATTAGGTAGAGGAAGAATGTGCTCATGTGTGGGTTTTTAGAATGCTATGTATTGCAGCATCACAAGAAATTGTCTGGTGGATGGTTGCTTTGTGAGTACGGAATTCAGATACAACTTCAGATCCACGGGTGGTATTTAAATATGTGACATAGAATGGGATCACCCAAACCCAAGTGTAGACAAAGGTACAAAGACTAACGTTGCTCTGACATTGAAAAGTGAGGCTAAGAAGTCATCAGTGAAGTGAATTATCAGCAAAATCAAATGCCTTGCAATTCATATTCAAAAAATATTTTTTGGCGAAGTAATAGATTAGCTATGATCAGTGCTGTTAGCAAGAATGATCTTGAAAAGATCAATTAAAGTGGAGTCACAGGGTGATAATCTAATCGTTAAGGGTTGTATGGATAGGTGTGAGGCCAATCTGGCTACAAAATCTGTTACCCATTGGTCACCAGGGTGATTGAGCTGATCTGGCCTCCCTCACCATACTGTGTTTCCCTTTCAACCCGCATGCTCTGTCAGAGAGGACACTATTCTCTTGTAGGAAGAGGGGATTGTCCTTAAGAAAGGAAAAGACCCATGCTTGTTGAAATGAGTTTGAGAAGAAAGCTGAGCTGTGGAAGAGAGGAGGAGGTGCCAAAGCAGTGTCCTTCCCTAAAGACCGTGTATGAGATGGATAGGCAGGTGAAACTGTTGCATTTTAAGAAAAGATTATTAGACAGTGCATGTAGTGGTAATGTGTGTAACTCTACGTCAGAAGTGGTTTGGGGTTGTTGTTTTGTTTGTTTAGGGTTAAGATGTAACTCAGTTGTCGAATGCCTGCCAGCCTGTGAAAGCTCTGGCTCCCAGGCTTTCTCTTGACAGCTGCTTTGTGTTAGTGTTCTCTTAACTTACTGTTGACTTACTGTCTTCTCACCTTCAACCTGAGTGTCTTTTCTTTTGAAGTGGAACTTGCTATGATCATGGACCGGCTGTATGGTGGTGTGTGTTACGCAGGAATTGATACGGATCCAGAACTAAAATACCCAAAAGGTGCTGGGCGAGTTGCTTTCTCCAATCAGCAGAGCTATATTGCTGCCATCAGTGCTCGATTTGTTCAGCTTCAGCATGGTGATATTGATAAACGCGTAAGTTACATATCGGGAAGTCATCTGTGTCTCACTTAATAGGTGCTTTTTACCGTAAGGAGTTGATAACATGGCTCAGACACTTTTATCTTCCTTTATCTCCTAGCACTATATCCTTGAAATACAAATTTCTTCATGTATTTTAAACTTGAAGCATTACATAAGAGCCATAAGTATAGATGTGATTTTAAAGCCATGTCAAAGTCCCAGCTATCCGTCTAGCTGTAGAGCAGTTTATATGAGCTTGTACTCAAAACAGAGTGCCTGGGACCAAGCCCATGTCTGCCATTGGCTCTGTAATCTCAGGCAAATGGCCCTTTCTGCCACTTTTCCTGACTTAAAGTGTGGGAAAGAGTGCTAGTTAGTCTCTAGGTTGTTTTGAGGACTTAATGAACTTCATGTGCACAGACACTTGGAGAAGAAGTTGGCCCACAGGAAGTGATAGTTAAGAGCTAGTTTTCATTTATAAACACTAAAATTCGGAAACTATATATTTCTGTAAGTCATTTGACCTAAAATTGAAAACACTGGTCTATTAGTAGCATAGATTGGGTCTATATATAGAAGTCTTGTGAATGACAGCTGAAAGCCATCCTGTTGAATACTTGTGAGCTCTGATTGCCATCTAAAATAGGAGAAAAGCTGCTCATTTACGTATTAGTTTCACACCGAAATCTGTGAATTGTACATAAGTAACTATTCTAACACAGTGATACCAGCCAGCCAGCCAGAGACAACAACCTAGGGTGTTCCTCAGTTACAAGAAGGCAAGGCTGCCGCAGCAAAGCAGCCAGCACTGATCCACAGGGTAGCGATTCCCAGGTCTAACACCTTCCATGTGTTCAGTCTTCCCAACTCCAGCAGAGTCTACATTCTCATTTACAGATGTGGAAACAGGTCAAGAGAGTCCCCTCAAACCCGACATCATCTGCTCAATCATTCCTTCACAGTGGGGCTTTATTTCTTATGAGTATAATGAGGTCTGGACATGCCCTGGATCAGATTAGCCACAGTTCTGGCCTGTTTGCAGCAGCTACTGCAAGCAAGGTGCAGCTCTGGCCTGCAGAGAGAAGGCTGCTGCAGTCCTACTGGCTATTGAGTTTCACCAGCCTACAGATGATACTAGAATGAGAGGAAAATCTGGGAAGAAATTTGTCTTCCATGATAATCCCTTATGAATTTTGCTCACAATTTGAAAATACTAATGCTAGCATACAGGTGTTTCAAAGATACAAAAGTGAGACTAGAATATCTTCGATCTTCAGTTTTTAAAAGTGTTTTTCTCTCTTTGGAAAATAGGATTAAATAGCTCTTCGTGACCTCTGAAGGGAACATGTTGAAATAAGTGAATTAGTGTTTAACCACTTAAGCTCACAGCCAATTATGAACATGGAACTCGATACACAAACGTAGTCAGCACAGAAGCAAACTGGCTTTCATTTGCCCTCCAGTGGGGGAAAGCGGTTTCCCTAAGACACTGCTACTTTTCTCTAAAACACTATAAACATTTAAAATCATTCCAATTTCTTTTTTCTGAAGCAGACACCAGTGAGATTTTTTTACCTCTTCTCTTTGTAGGTGGAGGTAAAGCCATATGTGCTGGATGACCAGATGTGTGACGAATGCCAGGGCGCACGCTGTGGTGGAAAATTTGCCCCCTTTTTTTGTGCCAATGTCACTTGCCTGCAGTATTACTGTGAGTTTTGTTGGGCAAATATCCACTCTCGTGCAGGACGTGAGTTCCATAAGCCATTGGTGAAGGAAGGTGCTGATCGCCCACGTCAGATCCACTTCCGCTGGAATTAAGTCGAGCAAACTGGCCTCCGTCTACCAAGGAAAGAAAGGGTGCATGTGGCTTACTGTGCTGAAGATACTGACCTGCAGAAGAGATAAGTGCATTCTTCTGCTTCTCACCCAGCTCTCAATACATGCATCGTTATCAGCAGCCAAACACTACAAGCCTCTTGTTTTTCACCAAAACCCTACATCTCAGGCTTACTAATTTTTGTGATATTTTCATGTTAAAATAAAATGTTTTTTTGTATTTTCTCCAAGTTATTTTTATATGTAAAGTTAAAATTAGATATGAGAATGTTTTGCGTAGGGGCAACACAGTCTGCTGCTATATAGTGGGTGAAGCGTGCACTTATTTCTTAACATGGGTTTTTAACTTCAAGATCTGCCCCAGTACTTTACCAAAGGTAGCAAAATAATAGTGAAGATGGAATATGTCTGCTACAAATGCTTATTTTTATTGTTGCTGTTTTCAGTGTGTACATAAACTAAAAATTAGGGTTGATTTTGTTGCTCTCCATTTTGACTTGCAAGAAATAATACCTCAAGATAATCTGATTTATTAGCTATTTTTAAACATTTTTAATCACAAGCTGTATTAGCTTTGCTGCTATATAGGTGTTATGTGTAAATGTCACCTATTAATACGGGATTGAAAACGTTAGAGACACACTGCATTGCGGATGAAATGCAGGCAGCACAATATGGCCGAAACTGCCATAGTTTAGAATGTGAAACAATGCATGTTTACTTAACCTGTGTCCACCATATGCATGCACTAGGACATTAACTAATGAGGTGAGGTATTGCAAATGTTCAAAAAGCTCTCTTGAATCTAGGTAGCATGGACAAATTATAAAATTTGTTTCTTTACAAAAAAGCAAACTTGCATGCATTATTGTGACTTCAAGTTAAAAATGTTGTCCTACATGTGTACAATATGCAAATTAGTTTTAGATTAGAGAGTGCAGCCATTTTGTGATCTGGTCAGTAGTGGAATTCGATTTTATGCAGACTGGATGTAATATTTGTAATCCCTGTGCAATTTTGTGATGTGCGGTTCTAATTCATGTGCAGTGATATAGTATAGATAAAAGATTGAATAAAAGAAAAACACAGGAATTTTAAAGAAAGTTGATTTTAGCCCCTTTGATAGTTCATGGTTAAGATATCCTTTAAAAACCAAAGATGGCCAGCACACTGCTAACCAGTCACCGAATGTGAGACCCATGAGAAGCCCATACTTAAAAAGAGGGTTTTATAGAAGAACACAGAACTCTAGTGAAGTCAAAATGGAGATGGGAAAATATAACAGATGGCTAGTTGCATAAAATTTACCTTTAAGACAATGGTGAAATCTGGCTTAAATTTGCTTATATGTTTGACCTATGTATATGGGGTCTTCTGTCTAAACTGGGGTCACTGTTGCATGGAGCATTGTTATTCTTAATGGTTAAGAATTGCTTTTTTAAAACTTTGATGAAGGAATTTCAGTAATGACTTTGCTTGCAGTTTTTTTTCTTTTTTCTTTATTGAGGGAGTTGCGTGGAAACATGCACAGTTCTGACCTAGAACATGGTTCGTGGTGGTTTTCCTCTTTAGAGCATCCTAGCCGCAGCTAGCCCTGTGTTGATAATGTAGGAGTTACTCTGCAGTGGAAGCAAAGCACCCCACAATGGTAAATGTTTTCGGTTTTGTTTTTGTTTTTATTTTAATGCAGAACTAAGATTTTTGACTCTAAAGAGAGAAAATTACAAGGGTATAGCCTGTGCAGCAAACCCTTGGGACAATCCTTCACATGAGCAAAGTGCTGATCTCAACATTGGTTGTCAATGGTATGCTTTTTTGTACTGTAAAAATACGTGGTTCATGTCTAACTCTGCTGTTTTATTGTGGTTGTGGCTCAAGTTTTTAATGTTTGAAGTTGACGCTGTTTTCAGAGGAGCTCTTTACTGGTTTATTCGTCAGTGTCCCTACGTGTTACTCCCATGACCCTCCAGAGTGTCTGGAGCATTCTTTTCTACCCTCGCCCTGCCAGACCTTGATCCATTTTGACATTTGTTATGCACTATTTTTATATCTCTGTGAGAGATTTTTCCAACAGTCAGCTATTTTATGGCACACTTTTTTTGACTGATGACATCTCCTTTGCTATACCTCAATTTTTGGAATTTAGAAAAGAAATCAGTAGTTTTGCAATGTTAATTATTTAGATATTTAATTTCGCAGATTTTTAAACTTTATTTTCATAATTTCTGCTTAATGTTTAAAATTGAAGAGCCTTTTCATGTATTAAATAATGAACTCTAAAATAAATTGTGTGATAATTGGAGACGCCGAAAATCATTTTCCCTTCTTAAAACAGAATCAGCTTTGAAATGAAGGGAAACGAAATGGTGCCCTTTCCCACCAGGGTGACCGCGACAGAAATGCTGGTTTGTGTCACCTTCGTTTCTGTTAGGACAGAGCTTACTGGTCTAATATTTTGTTACCCCCGCCTCACCCCTACCTCTAATTTGTTTCTTTTTCTGTTTGGGGATTATTTTCCTTTTATGTACTACATTCTTATTTTCTAACTGTTGAACACTGTATTAGAGTTTTTTTAATTTACAGATCATATTTATTTTACTATTTTTGTAGAAAATTATTAATTTTGATTGTATTTTTGTATTTCAAAGCTTCTTCATTTGTGTTCCCTAAATGTTCATATTGCTGCCCAAAAGTATGAATGACTGTGGAGGAAAAAGTACTTTAAAAGTCCACCCTTTTTGTTAAGAAGGAGACATTTAGCATTTATATATTTGTGTATGGAAAACACTTGATATTTTATCCCTGTTGCATCTGGCTGCACGAGCCTCTCCTCACAGATGCCGCAAAACTTGAATATAACACACTTTGGAAGGCTGACTAACCTCGATTCTGTGTTGTGATGTGCAATACTGTTTCTAATGTTTGTATAAAGATACAGTGTAAACCTTTTTAATGCAAATTTATTTTTTTCATTGCATATTTTGCAGACTTTATCCACAGTGTCATTTTTTACTGTCAGAAAAGATGCCCCTTTTGTCATTGCAACTATTTTTTAAACCCAGAAATCTTTGTACTGATGTAAATGATTGTAGTTATTTTGGATAGTGTTTTGCTAACAAAAGGAGAGACTTTTTTCATGCATATTTCTATTTTGTTTTTTTGGGTTTTATTTTATTTTAATAGTAGTAAAATACTTGGAATAATTTTTCATATTCTTGTCATTAATATTATTTTGTATTTTTATGTGAAAATATATAATTTTATGACACTAATTGCTAAAGTTTATTTTATGTTGAATTATTTTTGGAGCTGAAATCTTTGTAATATTAAAGCAACTAGTTTCTAATTCCCAGTTTCTGTATAGAATCGCACAAGTGGTTTATGGAGTGTTTGGATTGTAACTATAAATGGTTCTTTGATATGCAAATTAATATTTTCAGTTGATTTTATTTTATATTCCTAATGGGGTGTTAAAGCCGTTTTTTATTTTTTTCTAAATAAAAAGAGAACCCATGCTTTTATGGACACTAGGTAAAACGCCTTCAGCTTAAAATTTTTGTTAAATAATTTAGTTTATTTTATTGTTATCTTCCAGGTGTCTAAATCTCCAGTCTGTCTGTTGTACTGGTAATTTAACTCTGTAATGGAATAGTTTGCTGCCAACTATTTATATTAAGTAATTTTTAAATATTTGTAATATTGTTGACTGACTAATAAACTATTAAGTTATTGGCATAGCTGTGGAACCTTATTTTATAGTTTGCACCTTACACACCATCAGGGACAGTGAAATGGTAGTTTGCTCAGAGGCCACTCCACAGTGTCGCATACAGCTGGGAGGACCCCCAGGGACTAAATATGCAGAATTCCTCCCTCTGTATTTAAGCCTGGAAGCCCCTTTGCATTACTGCCCCTTCCTGCACCTGGCCCTCACACACCTCAGAGATCTCTCACAGCGCCCTCAGAAGTGCCACCTTATCTGACTTGACTCAGTACTCAAGGCTGCCTAGATAGTGCAAAGGTTAAGAATACTGATGTTCTTCCAGAGGACTCCAGTTTGGTTCCCAAAATCAAGTTGGGCAGCTAACAACTGCCTGTAATTCCAGGTCCACAGGAGCTGGGGCACTGGCATGCACATGTATTTAAAACCAGACCTGTAAATAAATCTTTAAAAACGAAGTTAATTAATGGAAAGCAGGCCTAATGATGCTGCTTTAGTGAGTCACTGTGTGTACACCCACTTGTCACTTTCTCCCTGTTCTCTGTACGTCCTGTGGTTTCTTCGTGCACTGGGTAGAGGAGGAACAAGGAAGAGATGCATAGACTGAGCAACCTGAGGCCTGGGTCCCTTATCCTAAAGTTGAAGTTCCATCATGAAGCCAAAATGTGGTTCTGGGAAGAGAGAAAGGAAGAATCTATTGCTTTTGCTAGAAAACGGATCATAGTGAACCTTTTTTTTTTTTTTTTTTTTTTTTTTTTGGTCTGTGAGTATACAGCTCCCAGAGAGAATAATAGGCATTTCAAAACATAATTTTATATTTTCAGGGCGTCAACAGCCTGCCTCTTTCTCGAGGCTCAGGAGGCATCATGGAAGAGGGGGCAACAAGACTGTAAATGGATGGACAGGTGGCTCAGTGATTTATATATAGCACTTGCTGCTCTTCCAGAGAACCCAAGTTTTGTTCTCAGCACTCATAAGAAACACAGGCCTCCTAACTGTCTCCCTGTAGCTATAATTCTAGAGGATTCTGTGCTGTCTGGCCTCTGCAGGTGCCTGAACACATGTGGAATACATGGACACACACGAATAAAAATGAAAATATATTTTAGAAATCTGTAAGAGCCAGAGGTTTGAGAGGACTGGGGTCCAACTGCCTTTTGGAGAGAGGACTGTTGAACTCATGAACCCATAGAGGCTGCTGCTGAAGGCACAAGCCCTGTACAAGATCAAGCCAGTGAGATTTCCAGTGGGAGGGGGAGGGGCCATGGACACAGTTTCCCACCCAGCATATGGTCCCTGGTAGGTTGTCCATACTCCATACTACATGGCTACATCATGTACATAGAGGCAGAACTGGCTGGACTCAGTGGGCTACAAAAAGAAAAAAAAGAAAGAAAAGAAAAGAAAAGAAAAAGGGAATGGAGGGTGATCCAGGACAAGTTGGAGGAGAGTGTAGGGATGAATATGATCCAAAATACATTGTGTACATGCATGGATATTCAAA